TGGCAAACTTAAGATGCACTCAATACCACTGTCTATGTCACTGAAGGAGATTTTGAACACCACGGGTCCCAATACAGACCTCTGAGGGACACTACTTGTCACCAGTCTCCATCTGGACATTAAGCCATTGACCACTACATAAAATACCAGAGTAGGACTTGTGCAGATAAGGAAACCCTGGCCCCTAGTCTCCCCTGTCTCCCCTTCTTCCTCCTCTGCAAAACCTAGCCCAGCTCTTGTGGCCACAGAGACCCTCAAGCACCAACTGAGCCCCCCTCTCTGCCTGTATTTTGGACATCTTGAGTGACAGTAACCTCCAAGTACAGGCCTGAGGATTTGTAGTGGGGAGAGTGCTCTGGAGAGCAGGGTGAGATCAAGGCACAGGGCGGATGAACCTTCCTACCTTTCTCTGAACATGGAGGATCATCCCCCTTGACAATAGGCAGCGCATCTGTGGTCAGCACTCCAAGCAAAGATGGGGAGAGTGTCGGTAGCAGAGCAAACTGTGCTCTTCAGCAGCCACCACAAGCACTTGCCAAGGGAGCTGAAAACCAGGCTCTTCAGAAGAAAACTTAAAAAACAGTGTTTAGATGGTCCTAAGCCCTGGCACTGCCTCCACAGGCTGGCTCCCTCTCCTTCTCCGTGGGACGTGTCATTCCCAGCTATTCCTAAAGGACTGGAGAGGAAATTCCCCTGTTTGAACACAATGGTCCCTGGCTTGCGTAGGGTGTTCCGCAACCGTGGAGTTTCCCTACAGAAGCCTGCCCCCATTTGCTCCTGACCACAAAGTATTTGCTTTGCATTTAGCAGGAACAACCAGTTTAGTGTTTGAATGAATGATAGGTGTTAATTAGTAGCATTCAAAATTAAAGTAAAGGTCAAAAGAGTGCAGACATTATCAAAGAGCCTTGTTTGCTCAAAGGAAACATTAATGACACTTGTTCAGTGCTTCAAGATAAACTTGTTCAGGCACCAACTTAATGAAGAAATAAATCCTCCTCTCCACAGAACCTCACCACTCCTCAAACACAAACCACATGTCTTTCATCTCAAGGTGTGCCCTGCCCTATCTCTCATCTCTCCTTGCTGTTATACTTCTCTTTGCTCTGGAGATGTCAGCTCCCCTCCCTGAGTGGCTTCAAGATGGTCCCACTGCCAGCTCCTTGGACTTGGACTGACAGCTTCCTGCTGCAGAGGTGTCACCCCACAGCTTTCTGTGAAGGTTCTTCTTGCAGCTGTCCTGAACTGTGAAGCAATGAACAAGAGGGTATCACAGAGCTTGGGAGTATGGGACAGGTGGTTTCAGGACCTGTCTACTCCAGCCAGTCCAGACAAGCATGAGTCTTCTGCTTCTACCCTAACCTGACCTGTTGCTCCTGGTTTTGCACCTGTCTGGGTAGATGCACCACCAGATCACAAGCTCTCCTGCCTGCCCCATGTCTGTGCAGCACCTGGCACAACAGGGCTTGGACAAGGCTCCCAGCAATGCAGGATGCATGGGTCCAGACCCTTCTTCCTAGCTGCCTACATGTGCTCTGCTGGTGTGGAATAAGCCAGAAGCAAATTAATCACACCACTCACCTGAGAGCTAGCTTGCCTTCTGCAGGTGCTTTGCTCCATTGACAACAGAGGGAGCCCGAGGATGTCTGCTCTCCAGAGTCAGGCACCTCAGGCAAATTTATGGTGGGATGAATCCAGGGCGAAACAAATATTAATATGTTCAGAAGCCAGCATCACCATTCAAATATATTTATACAGACACAAAGAGAAAAAAGGGAGGGACAGCGCGTGCACACAATTTGGTTTCTCCAAGGCCCCCAAAATACCACAAATGACTTTCAGCAGGAGAGCAAGATGCAGTCAGATTTGCTTCCTGCCCCAGCTTCCAGGCTGCCATAATGCCAGCAAACCCTGCTCTCCATCAGTAGGGCAGCGAGGAGGCTGCAGCGCCCGCGGGAGGAAAGCAGAGTGCAGGAGCTGGGGGCTTTCAGGCTGCGCCGTGGCTTCTGCGCCAAGAACACAGCGCTCCAGCTCCCACTGTTAAAACCACTGAAGGTCGAGGAAGATGGTATTTCCATCTTTCCAAAACTAAATACTGGGAACACGCCTACACAGTCTTTGTCATAATCTCCTGACTTCAGTTAGAAGTAAAGAACAGGCAGAGGTCAAATTTTTCCTGGCTTCATAGAAACACTATCAAAACTTAACCTCTTCCCTGCTGGCAGCACACAGATCTCCCATTCCCAGCAAAGACAGGGCCACAGCATTCATGTGCAGGATGAACACATGCTTGCCTTTGCAGCAGAATAATCTTCCTTTTCCCCTTTCCCTGCATGCACAGACAATTCAGACAGCAAAATTTCCTACACCAGCAAGGATGAGCAAACTCGGTTGCATGACAGCCATCTGTCAGGAGATACAGTCTTGCATCCCGCATCCCATTCAGCTGCAGACACCCATCAGAGTTGCTCTGCTGTGCCACAAACACACACGCCAACCTGACACTGATTCATCCCATCTCACACACTAGAGAAGAGGCATGAAAGACAGGCTTCTAGGGGACCAGATGGGCACCTGTCAGCAGCCATACGTCAAGAAAAAAAATGAAAAAATCCACCTTCTGCAAGATTTTCAAACACGTGATTCTCAAGTGCTGTGTGAAAAAACAAATTGGCAGCTCTTCCCCTCTTTCTGAGTGAGCAGGAATGAAACAGCACGGTAGCCGATATTTATTGCAGCCCTCACCATGTTGGGAAAGAAGCAAGGAGGGGCCCATTTCTCTGAGTTATTTCCCTTTGACATTTCAGAGGAGCGGTGTGCAGCTGCACACAGCTGGCCAACCTGGAAAGCAGGAGCAGCAAAGTGATGAAAAGTTGAACCCTGCAGCTCAGCACTGTCACTTCCAAAAAGCTCAAGAGCTACAGATCGGTAGTCGTAAGGATCCCAAGCCCTAGAAACCAATAGTAGACTCCAAATTTGACATCTCAGGCATGATGGGGCAAAGAAGCTCAAATAACTTTATCCTGCCTAGGATATCTCTCTGTCAAGACTGTTTGCTTCAGCCCAGCTGTCTCCAAGATCAGGAGCCATGCGGCTGGTAGGACTTTGGAGAGGGAGATCAAATTTGGAGTCTGCAAAGCATGCTTTCCATGTCCCTGCTCAATTTTTGGCCTCTTACTTTCATGATGAATTACTTGGAGGTTTGCAGCATTGCTGGCTTATTTGTAGACTGCACTTCCAGCTACAAAAATAGCAGACACTAAAATGATAATCAGGAATCAGATAAGAGCTCCTCCCAGGAGGAAGAAAAAGATTTCTTTCTTCTCTTTCCTTTTTTTGTTCTTTGTGTTTAAGAAGGCTGATGTGTTACAATTATAGATTGGGCTTTCCATCCCAAAGCACTTTCCAAGAGCTCCACCAGCACCTCTGTGCACAGCTGGCAGCAGGCACTGGTAGGAGGAGCTGTGCAGCCTCACAGAGGAGCCCAGGCCACATGGGCTGCTCACACAAACTGTCCGAATAACTGCACAGCATAACTGCAGTAGGCTTCTGGTGTAGAAATAGCCAAAGATGACAGGCAATGTTGTTTTCTGTCATTACTTCCTGCTAAAATGCAGCTCAGAGAGGATAATGCATAGGTAAAAGTTCTATCACATCACAGGTTTCTCTGGTCTTGGACACATCCCCCCCAGTTTCCAGCTGGCCATGCCACCCCTCCCTCCTCTGGGTTTGATGCTCACCAGACTCTTCCCCAAGCCACCTCATCTGATTAACTTGGGATGAGAGCCTAGGCCCTTGTTGGGTTGGTGTTCTCCCATCCTTGTGAGTTATATCAGTACTTAGAGGGGTCCCACAAGTCCCAGGGCCAGGGTGAGATAAGACCTGGGAAAATGTGGATGGGAGAGAGGAGAGAAGTGTAGTACTTCCACCAGTCCTTCTCCCCCTTGCTGCTTTTCATGGAAATGCTTTTAAACTTTTCTCTAAAGTGAGAGCTTTATAACTCCCTTATCTGCATATAGTTACTGATAAGTACTCTGATAAGCGTCCAGCCACACTGTGAACTCCCTGCCCCTTGCTTATTTGTCTGTGCACAGAAATGGATACTTACAAGAAAAGAAAAAAAAAAAAAAGAAAATAAAAAAGAGCCTTTAAATGCTACATAAACACAACTAAATAGAACATAGCAGATGGGGCCATAAGGGACCTCCAATGGTCTCCTAGTTCATCCCCCAAGGCAGCGTCAAATTACAGCTTATTGCCCAACATAGTGCTAAAAATATCCATTGGCCAAAATTCCAGTCTTCCTGGGCAACTGATGCCCGCAACTCTCTCCTTTTCACTCTTCAAAGCTTTTCCTGGACTTCAGTGTCCCTTACTGCAGTTTACACCCAAGCACTTTCTGGTCCCTGGCAGACAGAGGGAACAGTTGATTCCCATCCTGCTTGCAGCATACATCTGGAGATGGTTACATCTCCTACTTGAGCTCTGCTATGTTTGCGTCTCTTTTCTAGACAAAAAGCATCAGTTTGTTCTGGAAAAAAACAAAGAGTCAGCGGCTGGCCACAATGCACAAAGCAGAGCCAGGGACAGTGCCTCATTTCTTAGTGAACTGGTGGTAGCAAGAAAATAGGGTGGATCTCAGCAGAGGCATTGGGGCCAGGCACTGCAAGACCCCAGCGATATATTGTCTGCTGGTAACAGCCTCGTCATCCCATTCCCACCGCCAGGCTGGCACACATGTGCAAGACTGTGTTTTGCAACATTTTTCCATTTTTAATGCTCTTTCAAAGCCTTTCCTTGCAGGTCAGAAAGAGAGACATAGTTATAAAAGCAGACTGAACATATACTAGACCAAAACCACATGCTCCAGAATCAGCCTAAAGATACAGTTGGTCTGAACATGGCCTTATTTCATCATTTGTTGCGGTCCTCACTTAGTGTCACCCCTCCAATGTGGAGCGTGGCCTCTGCGTACGACAGCACCTTGCAACGTGACTCACCTCAATGAAGCAAAGCACATTTTCCACCCACGGAGCTGCAGCTCTTCTGCCAGACCTCACCACCATGGCTGTGGACAGGAATGCACGTCCGCCCTGCTGCTGCTGCGCTCACTACACAAGTGTGCCTCACCGGTGGTTTGCACCGACACTGCGCGTGGAAGCCACTGATGGGAGGGCTGGTGCTTCTGTCCCTCACTGCACGTCCTCTTGCAGAGCCCTTAACATGCAAGGAAAGAAAAAAAGTACGTGAAAGGTTGTGTAGCAGGAACAGCAGAAGACAAAATATGCTGCATAAATTCCCAGTGATTACTGATACCCTCTTTTCCCTGTAACATCAGCAAAGACTTGTCGAGCCTTAGCTGTAAACCAGCAATCACCAACACGCAAGAATTTTTTGAGTCCTGACTGAAAGGGATAATACCATCTACTGCAAAACCCATGGTTTAGCCTGCCTGTCCTTTAGAGAGACTGCACGAGTTTCACCCAGCTCAGAGCTGATGAAATCCCATCTGAAGGTGTTAGAGCCTCAGGTCAGTCTAAACACTCTCTGGGAGTACCCTGAGTCCTCTTTGAGTCCTCTTCCCTCCCCCAGCCTCAGCGACGCTGCTCCATATTTTTGCCTTATTGTTTTTCTTGTCAGCTGTTTTCTTTCAAATCAAGCTACGGCTGTGTTGCTTTTAGGTACTTAAAATCATGTTCTCAATTCCTTTCTTCCCTAATCACTTGGGGTACTGCATTTTACAAACGAGAGTATAATTAATCTTCCAGGTTTGTGGACGTGTGAGGAAAAAGATGTGATCCGTGACAATGTAATGCCCCTCCTACCTGCTAGACAATGGAACTGTCTGAGTTATACCCAAAAAAAGCCACACCCCAGGTTCAGAAAGACTGCAGCAGTTGACAAGCTTCTTTTTAAGCAGGAACATTTTTTGAGGTTTGTTGTTGTTGTTGTTTTAAACTTGGCCACAAAAAGCAGTTGCAAAAGAGCAAAGCTGGAAACTTACCCAGTGGTTCTGAGTTCCAGAAGCTGTCGAATTTCTCACAATGTTATCAGAGATCTGGAGGACCCACTGAGGCACATTTCATATGGTGATTGCTCCCACTCCCCCCTAACATGCATTCCTTGCAGCCTCAGTGGTGGTTCAACAGTCAGCATCCACAGTCATCGCTCACAGATAGCTCCATCCCATCTCAGTCACTCTCTTAGATGTTAACAGCCCTGAAACGGCCAACGTCAGCATTGGCTGCCCATAACAAAGCTATTAGAGTGACATTTTTGGTAGGAAATGGTGGGAATGCTGCACTAATCAGACAGAGTTATAAAAGGTTAGTAAAGATGAAAGGACAGAAAATACAGAGAAAAAGCCCAGGGAGCCAGAGAGATTTTGGCCAGGTTTGCTAAACTGCTGCCTAGCCACACACTAATACTGCATTTCCCAATCCAGCTGCTCATTTCCAGTAGCCTCAGCAAATCTGTATTGCTGGGAGAAATGCTGAGGTACTGTGTGGCTGGTAGCTTTCATGGCGACTCTTGCCCATTATTGAGCAAAATGGTCAAATTTCCAAAAGGAATTTGGAAAGAAAGTTCAATTCATCTAGGTGCTGTGTCCCTGGGGAGTCTAAAGTCACGAGGGCTCCAGCTCAGCAAGGACACACATAACTGAAGCATTATCAATATTGCGCTCATCTAGAGGAAATCTCTTTTCAAGTCACCTCAGTATTTTTGGAAGGAAATTTTTTAACTCGGCATTATCAGAGCTGCAAAGAATAAGCAATACTCTGGTACTGCTGGGCAGGGCAGTAGCAAGGCACTCCTTCACAGCAAATGAGGAAACTTCTTCATTTCCTTTCATCCTCATGACGGGAGAATTCCTGACAGGATGCTTGCACTGTAGTAACCAGATTTCACACTATGGGACTTCCGTCATTCCCTTTTGAAAGTTATTTAATGTCTTAATAGATGTCCTCATCCCACTTTTTTTTTTTTTTACCACACCATTGTTTTCTTCATTATCTCTCTCACCACCTAAAATGTCCCTTCCTCCTCCCTGGCACTTCAGGCTTTCAAATGACTGCAGACTCTTGCCTAATCTTTCTTCTATTCCTCAGCCCGATTTCAGGACGGGTGCTTAGCAAAGCTATGCACATACCTTGCTGTCAGCATCCCTACATAAATCAGTCTCTCGAGCTCCAGCACATTTCCTGGTGCTATTCTCTGAATTCCTGCCACTCGTCACCATGTCTCCATGGGAGGGTGCCAAGAAGGGGACATGGACCGACTGGGCGAGATCAGAAGAGCTTAGCAGAGGACTTACAGCTCATACTGTCCTCAGCAAAAGGCATCTGCATATACAGCCTAGCTCACCATCCAGCAGTTTTGCTGCTGTCTCCTGGAATTCATCCTTCATATGATCTTCCACCAAAATTTCTCGATGCTTTTTCCAACTTCCCCATCTCTCTAAAGGGGTATTTTTAGCCATGTTAGTTAACTGAAATATTTCCAAAGCAAGACTTGATCTCCGCTGTTGCCGCTTTCTCTCAGTTCCTCCCATTTCCACAGTGACTCCAGGTTTGACTACCCTGCATTTAGCACTGTGGTCATTTTTGATCACCACGTTTAGCCAGACTTACCACCAGTACTATCTTGCAACCCAGGAGACACCTCTTTCATCCCAGCCACTTCCCTCTGCAATTATAGCTGTCAATACTGATGTTAAGGCTACATGTAGGCAAACAGTTTACTCACTTCTCAGTCTCAGTACAGCTTGCCCTTTGGGGTTGCTGCCAACTTCCCCGCTCCCCATGACAGCACAAACTTTTATGGTTCATCAGTGGTGTGACTATGGTCGTGATGCACAACAGGCACCCCAGTTGCAATGTTGGCCATCCCAGAGAGTGCCCAGCCTGGACAGCAGAGCCCCAGTGCATGGCAATACCCAAGGCTGACAGAGGCATCAGCCTCGCCAGTCGCGGGATTTTTGTGGCCGTGACAAACTTTGAGCTGGCTTTCAATTTCTAAGAGTTGCTGTATCCATGCTGCTTTGAACTGCCTGCCTGAGTAAACCACCCTGACAAGGTAGAGGTTCATGGGGATTGCAGCGAGTCCTATTACAGCCCATGACAGATTTAATTGCGGATTAAAAATTCCATAGCAGAAATATTACAGGAGACTTGAAATACTAATTGTTTCTAGGTAAGGTAGGAGGATAATTTTATTTTAAACTCCCAAGTGCTGACAGCCAATATTTTGGTGTGAAAAAGCTAAAGAAGCAACTGCTGCCTCACTGTGAACAGGTAACAGCTTCCAGAGCTTAATCTTACACCTTAATTTGTTCTTAATATTCAGATCATGGCAGCAGCCAGGAGGCATTATCAAGCTAAGTGCTCCTTTGTGTCAATACACAGCAGCCGAAAAATTCCCCGCCCAACTGAGCTGTGATTGTTATATCTGTTGGAAGGAAGCCATGCTCTCTCTTGTACGATACTAATGCACTTTTAGCGACAGAACTGATTAGGATTCCTGGTTTGGATTTGCCCAGATCTAGCTTGGTTGATTTTTTAATCTTTGGGATAAGCTGTGGATAGAGAATTGGCCATTTAGATATAAATGCATCACTGGGAAACAGTTTGCTAGCACCCGCCGCAAAAATGACTTCCGTGTCTGATTTAGCGAGCGGCTGCTAGATAATGAAGTGATAATTGGGGGGGTGGGGGCAGAGGAGGGATTTTTGGCTTTCAAGAAGCTCCAGACATCTTTGCCTTATTCTGTCTCCACTAGCATGGAAATTAAGAGAGTGCTGAAGAATGTGTACTAACAGTAAAAATAAGCACCCTCCATTCTTCTCAGATTTAAAACGATGCTCAATAGGGAAATTTTGGAGTCCTCACTGGCAAGCCGAGGCACAGGGAGCATTGCTCAGGCTGTTTGAACCTCACAGCTCTCTTGTGCTGTATTGTGATACAGCTGCCTAATGAAGTCTAGCAGGCTGTGCGTCCTTCACATAGTGGCAAGGCTGACAAGCAGCCTCACACAGGCAGGAGACACTGGCTTTCAGGTTCAGTTCGATGGTGAGCTTCTCCCATCTGAACCTGCAGAACCTGACAAGGGGAGATGCTCCCTGGCATGCGCTCATCTTCTAAACAGCAAGGAGGCCAGGTGTGCTTCATTCTCCAAAGTCATACTTTTTTTCCCCAGTCCTAAAAAAGTCTGACTTAGCCAGCTCACTCCAAGTTGCCCTCCACGTGGTAACAAAGCCTCCCAAGACTGAGCAGGACCCAGGAGTGACACAACACTGTGATGGAGTCTGTCACAGCACCAGAGCACCACAAACTGCTGGGACTCTGCTCCTACCTCTCGCTTTCACCCCACTTTCTCAAGGGCTGGCTCAAATTGGGCAGCAGCACAGGCACACAGATTGCAGTCTAAAGTTCCCAGATCCAGAAGCACTGGCCACATTCCACCTGAAATTTATGTCCTTTCTAATTCTCATGGGTGTCAGAAAGATTTATCCGGAGAGATCTGATTTTACAGCCTGTGTCTTACAGTGTACTTGCTTTCAGTGCTCTGGGTTCACAAGCTACTGCACCCTCCTCAAACCCTCTCTCACTGATGCTGTAGGGCTATAAATTATAACAACCTGCAATGCTTTCAGCTACAGGCCTGTCCATCATCTGTGCGTGGCATTAACCCTGTGAAACTTGGTCACCCAGATCTGCATTTCCCAAGCTTTGAATCCTTATCCAGTGCGAAAGCCCCTCAGACAGCTGAAGAATGAAGGGCATACAGCAGCCAGCATTTCTAAAGAAAACTCGATGGCTTTCTTTATAACACATGCAATTCCCAAGAGAGCGAATTGAAGCTAATTCCTCAAAGGCTGAAATGAGAATATCCCCATAAATTATGTTCCTGCTTCATTCCAGACAAGGATGGCATGAAAGCATTACACGCAATCCCCCAGTTGGCAGTGTTAAAACCAGCAAGTGAATCAAAGAGACAGCATAAAGTCACTTGAAAGCTGAAATTCATTTTCAGCCTCACTCCATGTACTGTAACCTGAAAGGTTGATTTTTGAGGGCATCTTTTATAATTCCATGTACAGCAGGACCCATTCAGCAGGAGAAGAGCCTTCTCCATGGATGCGATGTGTTTTTCGTACAGCAGAGCCCCTGCT